CGCAGAGGGATTGGGGCTGGGGTGGAAGTGTGGCCTAGCACTTATAGCCTGTAGGAGTCGAGGCTGCAGCGGCAACACACCAGTAAAAATCAGAGGAACAACCAGGAGCAGCAGCAGCAGCAGCTTATGTGATGAACAGGCGCCGCCGTGATAAGATCCAACGAAGAGGATCGACCCGCGATAGCGTGCTGAGAGGGGGGGATGGAGACTAGAAGGTTGGCAGGCGGCAAAAGACCCAGTGCAGGAAAGGCAGTAATGGAACCACCGTGGCTTGCTTTGCTTTTGTCTATTAAGCTCATAGGCACGGTCAGAGGCCCGCCATGGAGGGGATCTGCTGTACGATCGTGTGATACTAAGTGCTAGGCCTGCAGCTGCAGCAACCTGCAGTGCAGCAAGCAGCTCGCATCCAACAATAGGCCAACCAAGAAAGCAAGAAACAGACCCTGACGTCTGGTCTGGTTGTCAGTTGGACGGGTTCCTACCGTGAGCAAGGCACAGCAGCTTCTTGCCGGGTGACAGGAAGTTGACGACAGAAGTTGGCAGCGAATTCTGCTGTCCCTCAAACTATTGTCTCTACGAGTAATTGTCTTGCCAATTTGGGAGTGAATAATCATCCTATTTCCCGGGGGATCCACGATAAACTGGAGCCACCGACATCATGCTATCAGTGGGAACAGACCTCCAAGGTGATCTCCGACTACAAGGCTTCTGGATGGGTAATCAGCCAGCCACAGGGACCACTGCACACGAGCTGCTCTAGTGGATTCACAGACTGCACGAGGTGCAGAAGTACCGGGCCCATTGTTCAGGGCCAGACCCACCGGTGGTGCAGGAGAGATGCTGATTGCAGGGAAGGACGGAGTAGCAGAGCGGATGCAGTGAGAAAGTAGGAGAATAGTAGCCAACCTGCTGTCCACCACACCGGAGAGAAGAGAGGAAGGAGCAAAGAAAACACTCAGTGATTCGTGTGTCAGAATGGCAGCTGCAGTTCATTCAAAGTCTGTGAGGGACCGTCCGACCTGAAGAAATGGCGAGTTGTGCGACCCACGGAAAATAAGGACAGGATACGTGGTGATTTTGTCAACAAGTGGAGGCGAAAGTTCTGTCGGGATGAGCTTTGGTTCATCGCTAGTGGCAGGATCCGCACCGATAGATCAGAGACTGGAGGATCCGCTCGGGCCAGCCGGTCGGATGGCACCATCCTGATTGGCGTGCGTGCAGAATCGAGATCCGAGCGATGAGTCGTCTGGCATAAATGAGCATTATATTAAATTTCGGTGGGTTTTAGCGTAGTGGGCGGTGGAAGCTGAGCGAAGGTGCAAAGTTTGTGATTCTGGTGACCATTCCAGGGCTGGTGGCGTCTCCTTTTCGTCTCTCCCGTGGGCCCCATCCACTGCTGGCTGCATTACAATTGAACCACTGCTGCAACCTGGTCCCAACTGACTGGCAACTAATTCCAGACGAGACCAGTCTTACTGGAAATGGTTAATTGACAGAAGAAGACAGCCAAATCGGGCCGAGATCGATCAGCCCGTGGATCACCAGCTGAGGATCGTCTGCAAAATGGAGCCACTATTGATGCTTGCTTTTTGCCAATTCGGACGGGCCGATACTGGCGCCAAAATGGTGGATCATTCAGAAGAGAATGCCACCATGTCACTGAGGGAAATTAGACGAGGAATAATGCTACCAAAAGTGGTAAATCTACAGAGCAGAAAGGGACAATGCGCACAGAGCAATGGATTGATCTGTTGTGCATGCGGGTTGACCGTCCCTACAGCTGCCATGCTGGAAGGGGATTCAGAACCAAACTGCCTGGCACCGGCCATCTGACTGTGGAACTGGTTGGCAGTTCGTGAAACTTGCCTGTGACCAGTGATTTCTCTTATTCCTGGTGTTTATGCATTATTTATACAAGCGTGGTCGCGATGGCAATCCACCATTGACAGCCGGGCTTTACATCAACCCTATCATCACTGTCATCAACAGCAATCAACTTAGCAATCAATCGCGATAGAATTGACAAATTGCCATGGCTCACACTCAGGACATTCTGGGCCAGTTGCCCCTCCTTCAGTCCTACACCCACGCCATCCTCTGTTTCCAGCTCGCCTCCAACACCACTCCCACCATTGACCTAGAATCCGCCGTGCAGCGGCTGCTAACCCTGTTCCCCATTCTGGCAGGCCAGGTCATCAAGACGGGTGCCTCGCCCAACTCAACCGGTGCCTACCAAGTCGTCCCTTATCCAGTTCGCAAATCCCCCATCATCCGCTACGTCGACCATCGCTCGGATCCCCAAATCCCCAGTTATAACACTCTGCGAACGGCACATTTTCCCTTCAACCAAATGCCAAGCATCCACTTCTCCCCTCCCCACCCGGTCTTCCCCATCCCCTATCCAGACACTGAACCCGCCCCCGTGCTCGACATTCAAGCCAATATCCTGAATGGAGGATTCCTACTCACCCTAGCCGCGCAGCATAACATCATCGACGCCAGTGGCATCTTCCAAATCGCCTCGCTACTGGCCCGTCTCTCGCGGGGCGAATCGATCCCAAAGGCCGAGGTCACCGAGGGCAACCTGGACCGCCGGGGTCTAATTCCCCTGCTGGATGACAGCCAGCCCCTCCGCTACGACTACTGCGAGTATCTCCCTTCGTTCATGCCGAAGATCCCCCCTAACCTGACAGCACTGTTCCCCACCTTCCAATGGGCTTATTTTCACTTGTCCAGACGGGCCGTCCAGGCGATCTACGCCGAGGCCGCAGTCGCCTCCCCGTCACACAGCACCCCTGTGCAGATCACCCCCAATGATGCCCTCACGGCATTTATCTGGCAACGACTAACGCTTACTCGTCTCCACCACTCCCCTAGCCCGCTCGCTGCCACTGAAGTCTCTAAGATCTCGCGTGCCATGGACCTCCGTCGTACTTTGCACCTCTCCCCAGCCTACATGGGACACATGATCCGTACCGCTACCCTCCGTCTCCCGCTGGGCGAGATCACCTCGCTGCCGCTGGCTACGCTGGCTGTGAAACTTCGGAATCAAGTTGCCGAGCTACGCACGCTGGATGCTGTGCGCGACTACGCTACGTTTCTAGCGCGGCAGCCAGACAAGAGCAAGATTGCCTACAGCGGGGGCGGGTTTCAGCCGGCTACGGATCTGAGTTGCTCCAGTATCGCTCATGTGGACTATGATCGGTTGAGTCTGGGGGGTGCAATGGGACGGTGCGAGGGAGTTCGTCGCCCGGGAGGGGGAGTATTGCCAGGCGGTTGCTACATCGGACCGGCGGGGGACTGGTATGGCAGTGTGGGAGATGAGGAATTTCGTCAAGAGACGGGAATAGAAGTGCTACTGTGTTTGGATGGATGGGAAATGGAGGGGCTGAGAGAGGATGAGCGGTGGAGGGAGTGGGTGGAGTATGTTGGGTGATAGTTAGTATACGTGCCATGATAGTAAATGATAACGAGATAGACATGACTCGCGATCTACAGTAGTTCGAACTCAATTGTAGATAACACAGTAACCCTCCAACAGTATGGGGGTATCTCTACTCCCATCCATCTGCCTTCAATATCCCCTCGCTGCCTCTGCCTCTCCCAGCACAATCAACACCATCTACGAAGCGAAGTAGATTTAAACTGCTCACCCCAAATATGACACCTCACACTCCACCTGCAACATGCAACATGCACCTCAACCCCCACTCCAATCCCACATCCCAAACTCCGTAATCGGCACTCCCACGAGGAGAAGCAGAAGCAAAAGCAGAAGCAAAGGAGAAGCACAGTTCAACCCCTGCCCCGGGCACTACACTACACACCCATCTGACCTGTCCTCCCCCCTCCATCAGTCCTACACTCCATTCTCCCTAACAATAAACCATAGAAATCCCCGATCCGTCCGTCAACCAAACTCCCGCATTCATATCCCCGAACACACAAACCAGACACACACAGTGTAACAACCCATTAAGAAGGAGCGTCTTCCGGAGAATTAAAACACCACATATTGACCCCTCAGATACTAGCTAAGCATTTAATTGGAAAGTTAGAAATGTTGTAAACGCCGTTCCATCTTTCCGTCTGTCCGCCCGTACAATATGTTCCTTGGTTCATTTATTTTGTTTGTTCCGTCGCCGCCCGCCCGTCCGCCCGTCCGGCCCGGACCGGACCAATACAACACACACAACTCACCACATCATAACATGACAATAACAGAGCATTGTACTTCAGGGGTGCATGTGTGCAACATTGAAGAGGGAAAAAAGGAACAGGTGTGACAGACATGGATTATAGTGAAACGGGTTTCATGTTGAAGGGAAATCACTCAGTTCAATAGTAGTGCATGAGACACGCCACCAGGATACTAGTACTAAGTAGTGATGGTATGTGATCCGGAATATATTTCCTGCCCTAACGGAGAATCTTTACGCTTCGGTTCAGAACATCACTGGCACTCTTTCAGTTGTACCACAACTATAACCATAACCAACAGAAACAAAACACAAAGAATAGGACTAGAGATATTCCCAACCCGACCAACATTAATTTCCCCTCCGAACAAGATATTCCTTCATCCGGGAATCACATCCTAGCCTGTACTCCAGTTTCTGTGCAACACCACAACCAACGGAAGAAGGGAGGGAACTGCGGACTGTGTGACGTAGCACAAGAGCTAAGCTACGATGCTGGTCCTGGTTCAATTCCTAAAACCGGTTCGTGTAGGTGCTGGTTTGGTTCCTGGGGTACATACATATTGTGTTACTATTATTCTGTCTTTAGTGTTACACTGGTTTTAGCTAGGACTGGGATGATGGAGATGCTTAACATGGTTAAGCATTCCTTGCTTACTTACTTACTACTGTTTACTCTGTAAGTAGATACTATCAGCAACAGTAGTAAACTTGTTAGTTAGTAGTATACACTAAATGATTACGTCCTCTATCATATCAGACATACACACCATCCATCACAACCACCTCAATAAGGGAGCAATGACAGAAAAAAGCCCTCCCATCGAAATCGCCATCATCGGCTCCGGCCTAATCGGGACCCTCCTCGCCCTAGGCCTTCTCAACATCCCCAACTCCTCCACCACCAACTCAAACCTAACAACGCTCCGCATAAAAATCTACGAACAATCCCCCACAACCCACGAACTCGGCGCCGGAATCGGCTTCACGACCTGCGCGCGGAAATGCATGACGCTCATGGATCCGCGCATCGCGGAGTGCGTAGCGCGCGTAGCGACACTCAACGGCGAAGCGGAAGATCCAGACTACTGTATGCGGTTTGTGGATGGGTTTAGGACGTATACGGGGGGTGAATGTTGGGGGACGTCGAAGGGTGGAGAGGGAGGAGGTGTTGATGTGAGGGGGATCAGAGGGGATTATTACTCAGATAGAATTGAAGATAATAATAATAATAATAGGGAAGGCGAGGATGAGGGTAAAGGCGTGCACGTCTCCGGGAAAGTCTACAAGTTGTATGCCGGCCCAAGGGGGTTCGAAGGATGTCATCGGGGCCAGTTTCTCGATGAAGTGATGAAACTTATGCCTGAGGGAGTAGTGGAATATAATAAGCGGGTGGAGGGGTATGAGTATCTCCCTTCAGGGAGGATACAATTGGGGTTTAGTGATGGGGGGAGGGTGGAATGTGATCTTGGTATGTACTTCTTCCCATCTACAATTAATCAATCCCTAGCTACATGATATTGACGAAGTATGATAGTCCTCGCCTGCGACGGCATCAAATCTCTCATCCGCACCCATCTCTACCCTGGGACAAAGCCCCAATACACCCACCAATTCGCCTTTCGGGGCTTAGTACCAATGACCACCGCAATCAGCAAACTAGGCCGCTACCGCGCCCTGCGACAGCACATGCACTGTGGGCCACGAGCACACGTGCTGCATTTCCCCGTCGCGAAGCAACAGCTCATGAATGTCGTTGCGTTCGTGCAGGATCCAAATGACTGGATGCATTCCGGGATGACAGCACCAGCGAGGAAGAGTGAAGTCGTGGACGCGTTCCAGGAATGGGGTCCGTTTGTGCGCGCTGTGATTGATCTGCTGCCTGAGGAGCTGGATAAGTGGGCTGTTTTTGATACTTATGACAGTCCGGTGCCAAAGTATGCGGAAGGGAGGGTGGCGCTGGTGGGGGATGCGGCGCATGCGTCGTCGCCGCATCATGGAGCTGGAGCGGGGATGGGGGTCGAGGATGCGTTGGCGCTGGTTACGGCTATTAGGAGGGCAAGGGAGGATGTGGATCGCGGGGTGGAGGTGAATGGGGCGTTGGAGGCGGCGGTGAGGGCGTATTCGAGGGTGAGGTATGAGCGGTCGCAGTGGTTGGTGAGGAGTAGTCGCGAGGTGGGATGGACGTATGAGTGGATGAAGGAGAGTGTTGGGGCGGATATGGATCGTGCGTTTGCAGATATCAAGGAGAGGAGTCATCGGGTGTGGTATTTTAATGTGGATGCGATGGTGGCAGAAGTGGAAAGACAGTATCGTTGGTGTTTGTGGAACTAGCTAGCGTACGCAGTGATGGAATTCTAGGGTATCTATTCACACACCCTTTCTTAACATCTCTTCTAGGACGGGACTGTGTGTCCTCTCGTATGCTTCCCGAATATACTCCTCATCCACTGAAAATGGTCGCGCCATTACATTGGGGATGTACCGTCGCAGTGCTTCCAGATCCACGTTTCCCTCCAGAAACCCCGGTCGGAGCAAGCACTGTCGGAACCGGTCCACAGTTGACCGCAGGTGACTCGAGTGGAAGGGCACGTCGATACCTTCTAATGGAATCGTGGCTTGCCCTCGTCGAAGCTGTATCGGCGGCGATAATTCTCTTGCCTTAGAAAGTAGCCGATGGATTATATTGTCATGTTGTAACTCCATTCCATCGGACTGAGAGATGTAGTCCAGCATCCGCCCAAGCACGCAAAGATTGGTCACCTAATACATTAGCATTTACAAGGCAAAGAGGCTCGAATACTCACCGTCCCTGAACACACATATTGCTCACCGTCAATATTATAGTTGACTACCTCGAGAAGCTCCTCACTAGCCAGACCAATCCTTTGCACCAGCCTACTCAAACCTGCTTCATCAAAGACTGAACAGTTAGCCCAAGCCCAGCCTGTAGCAGCCTCGTGTAACTTACATCGTCCAACACGCTTAGGATTGACCGCCACCATGCCGTACGCGTTCCCGTTGCCCCCTGCCACAGATGCCTGCATCATGAGTCCCCGGTAAAACGCCAACTCTGCCAGAGCTCCCATGGGAATTGAATTGGACAGAGCGGACAACGCCCCGAATTCTCCCAAAGAATGACCCGCATACATTGCATCTGGTGATATGTAGCCCCTGCTACGGAGGTCGGCTACTGCCGCTGCCTCAAATAGCAAAATCGCCGGTTGGGCGAACTGGGTAGAGTATAACAGTCCCCGTGAATCAGTGAATGTGTAAGAGGTCGAACATGGACTGAGCCCCTGCAGAACAGGGGTCTCCACACGGGACCCATCGGCGAGCACTGTCTCCGTAGTAATGGCGAGATAATTCTGTCGGATTTGGCGGCCTCGCTTGCCTCCGAAGTGGACGGTAACCGACTTTGGATTGTTCTTGACAATTTCCAAAACAGACCAGCCTATTTCCGTAAGCGTTTGTCGCAGCATCGGCAGATTACGTACCATACGACGCAAACAATTGCGCATCAATCTCATCCCACAAAGCTTTGGCCACCGGACTTGACTGGTACAGATCCATGCCCATGCCCTTGCTCTGGCTGCCTTGACCAGTGAAGAGATAAGCGGTTGCAGGCTGGTCAATCACGGCTTCTGCTTCCAACACCTTTTCTTGGCCATCTTTTCGGACAACTTCAACTGTCAATCGCATGCGCCCATCGATCATTCCAGTATGTTGTATATGGACGACCAGCTTTTCCAGTGGCATAACCATTCCGGTAAACTTCGCTGCAAACTGTCGAAGACGCAAACGATCACCCCCGAGAGCTAGGTGCTCCAATGCCGCTACCGCAACTGCCGAGGTACTCATCCCGTGACATATTGTGCCCGGGAGATCTGCCAGAGAGGCAAAAATGGTCGACACATGTATCGGGTTGTAATCCGTGGATATCTCAGCATATGCTTGATTACTGACTGGCATTTGGATATCGATAGATGAGGGACCAGTCCACCCTGGCTTGTGTAGCATCGTCTGCTTGCTCACTGGACCCCCTCTGCGCTCGAGAAATTGCAGCACTGGATTTCCAGCACAATGAGCGCATTCAAAGTCAACAAATCCGACCTCCTGACCCGGAATACCACCATCATCTAAGCAAGCGGTTCCGGTCACACGAAGGCTCTTGAAACCACTCTCATTGTCCACTTCATGAGTCTCTATACTGAAGACAAGATCTCTGCCTACAAGAGTTGTGGCAGTATCGTGCAGCTGAAACCACGGGCGACGCCGCAGGACCGTTTCTTCCAGGGCTGACCTGATATGGAGTGCCCACTGCGTTTGTTCCCGTCTGAATGTCGACTCCGAGCGAAATGAACCTCGATACAGAAACGTAGATGTGATCTTCATGACCGCTTTTCCCGATCGAATAATTTGGGCTTCAATAACAACCACTTTGCCTGCATCTTCCACATACACAGCTTGCACCCGCGACCGACAGCTGACACCATCGCCAACACGTAATGTATCTGCACCGGCACAGTATTCAAATGTATTAGAACGGTGAACCAGACATAATAAATCACCATCGATCTCTCCAGTTACCAAAGGCTTGGTGATAACGTCCCACGCAATGACTACCCCAGCGCTGATTGGCAGGATATCCGAGTTTGTTTTGATCAGTCGGGAATCCGGGAATGCCGGACCCACCGCGGCGATCAAACCATCCACCAGTTCGCGTGTGAGAATCATTTCCCGACCGTGATAAGTCTCCTGAATGCCAATATCGGCCTTCTGCATCCACAGATTACTATAAAATGTCCTCGCACGTGCATTTCGCTTCGAGGTGATCTCAGTAAGCGCGAACGGGATGCCGTTGGGATCATACCGGTACACCAACTGGAGTGGATCAGAGACTTGAGGGGGGTAGAGATCTACTCTGATCTCGAGGCCATCGAGACATGACACTTTCATGAGAGAAGTAGCTCCGCACGGATCTTGAACAGTCACACACGCCTCTGAATGCTCAGCATTGTATCGAACCTTTGTGTCCGGGTACAATGCGATGAACTGCTGAAATGGATTCTTTTGGCGTCGTCGATTTCGAGAGATGACCTTGTCCTCGAAGATGGCCCGTAGCCACGGTGATAAGTTTTCGCTCTTGGTAATGACGGCACCCACTGAAAGGGAACGATCATCCGTAGTCTCCGAAGCTGTGGATGAGAGGGCGAGCTCGTCCATAGCAATCTCCTTGGCACCCGATACTGAGGACCAAGACTCTGGCGTGATCAGTCCGCTGCCTGAACTAGGCGAAGAGGTGTCGGTACTGCTATCACGCTGCATACGTTCAACGAGGCCACTCATTATATTGTCCAAGATTTCTTTTGCTGACTCGTCTTGCCGAACGGAGTATTGAGCTGCCACCGGGCCTTGTAGGATGCAAACTCGTTCAGCATCTTGGTCGACAACAGCATCAACATCCTCTGCCTGCCAAAGTGAATCTTTCTTGAAATAGAACTCAAAGTCATCATTCAAAGCAGGTATAAAGTTGACTGGCTTCTGGTTTGGCATTTTACTCCTCATCAAGAAGAAAGAAACATCCTCTGGATTCATGATCTCGTGGGAAGCACTAGGACACGCAACGGTGAAGGCGTCGAGGAACTGCATCGGAGCTTCGGATAGGACCGACTGTGTGAGGTCTGACTTGAGGGTATCAACCCGAAGTAGGCGCTCTAATGCTCGAGTGGCCATGGCCATGGTAAAGACAACATACGATGGGTCAATCCACCGTTTCTGCTGGTTGACATACATCAGCTCCACCATACGATGCAACACTTCAGTGTAAGTCATGTCATCCAGGTCCACTATGTCACCCAAACTGTTGCGGCCAAACCACGGCTTGGCAAATTCAGCATTCAGGCGCTGTATTATCGAACTCCGGTGCTTTTCCAGGTATGCAATGCGGTCTTTCCGAGGCAGACTAAAAACCGTTTGATCCATATCTGCCCATAAGCTCACACCTTTGGTTGCAATCTTGTGGATGGGCTCGCCCAGTTCTGACTGTACCGTGATGATTCCACCAGCAGGTCCAGAGTACGTTTTCTCCCAGTCGCAGTCAGGAACACCAGATGTCCTGAAGATAATGTCCTTGACAGGAGATGAGGTGTGCGCTTCCCGAGCTACCATCAAACGACTTCCCAGTAGCACACCATCAAAAGGCATGCACGGATAACCCAAGGCTAGTGACCATTGCCCAGTTATGTAAGGGTATATACTTTCACTATCACCAAACCCACTTCCAGCTACTAGATAAATATTATGCTGCTGTCGAATAGTCGCGTAAGTACTGAGTATCGGAGCGTGGAAGTCCTCGAAAGAGTGATGGCCTCCGCCACGCCCACCTGTCCATTGCAGTATGATTGGAAAGTCGGGATGTGCCCTGGCAATGTCGATCACCCGTCGAATGCTTGACAACGATCCTGGCTTGAAGCTGATGTGGCGCAGCCCGAGGGTCCGAATATACTCCGATGCTATCTCCATGGAGGGAACGCCGGCTCCAATTGTTATACCATCGATAGGCACGCGAATATGAGACAGTCGACGTATCAATGCAATCTGCCACCGCATGGCTTGGGGCTTAGCATATATAATGTTGCAGGTGATACCGCGACCAGCGGGGATATGAGCAACAAGGTCGTTGATTGCGGTAGTCATGTCAGAGCTGTCCCTGTAGCCACCTCCGGCAAGCTCTGCATGATATCCAGCATTCATTATGGCAGAAACAAAGTCCCAGTGAACAGTAGTGGGTGTCATACCAGCTACAACCACCGGAGGGGTACCCAAAAGGCTAGAGATTCGCGTCCGTATGGATCCTGCGGTCAGACGCGGTCGAAACTGTTGAGCCCAGCTAAGAGGCCTCAAAGACGAGTCGAGCAGGCGCGGAGAGAATAGATCTCGCATGGTACCTATATCAGAGTCACGAGTCTCGAGATCGCCACCTTGAATAACGCGGACGCCCTTCCCTTCCACAATCCTTTGAACCATCGATCCAAGTCCACCCCGATCAAAAACGATGATGTGCGATGGTGACATGACTAGCTCTTCTCCAGATAAAGCTGTGGGCCAATCGCAATTCTCCCGAGCAATGGCATTGAAAATTTCATGCAGTATATTCCCACAACGCTTCCGCAAATCTTCTCCAGTGGACGTGTGGTAGACGGGAATCTTTAGTTGCTCCTTCGCGATGTATTGTCCTGGGAACCGTGACTTCAAGGCTGTGACAGCTTTCGCAAGGTATTCGGTATGAAATGGTGCACTGATTGGTAGGAATCCATGTTGAATAGCCGGCT